CAAAAACAACATAAAGCACATATTTCAGCATAGTGATTTTGGCATGGGTGTTTTTCAGAGTGAGCTGTATCACGCTGCAATAGTGCCCTCTCAATATCCAATACAATTATACATATATATACCCCAACATGCAACCCCTAATTACCACAAAAAAAAACGAATCTGGTACTGAATGGGGCGCCCGTATTGGTTTGAAAATCTTAGGGGAATGGGAATTACCAACGACCAACATTAACCAACATCTGTGCCTGCACCCCAGGAGTGCCACCACATCTGACACAATAGCCTCTAAACATCTGTAGGCAAAACAAGTTCCCAAGCAAACATTTGCATGGATCACACACTTGGATGATCCTTGGATGTGGAAGATCGTTGAATTTAACTCTGTTTGTAGCAACAAAGCCAAATGAGCCAACAAGTGTAAATCATCCGACTGGTCATTGTGGACACCAGTTGGCTGTCACCCTCGAAATTTCCCCTGAATCAACCATTTTTTTCTCCTGCCATTGTGCCATGTTGCTATCCCGATTGGCGGTTTCAAAACACCTCAACCATTTGAAGCCACCAATTGGCCATTCATTTTCAATCATTGGCTAATGGCCTTCCGATTTGCAGCCTGCACGAAGCTCACTCAACTTTATTTGAAGCCATGCAATTTTGAATATCATATATATATGTGTATATATATATATATATATATGTGTATATATATAAATGCATGTGTATGTGCGCACGTGTGTGTTATACCATATGAACCAATATTTCATATGTACATATACATTACTAGATGGGTATGGATCATATCCCTCACAAATACATGGATCAAGGGTATGGATCGCCTGTGGGTCCAGGTACGGGAGGACACGGGTTTTACTTAAGAATGATATGAAGGGAGAATGTTGTCACGTGAGATCGCTTATAGAAGAACCCAGAACTTCCATTCCTCCTTATTTAATTTAAGGAGTTTTTTTTTAAGGAATTCCACCTTAATCAAGGAGGAATTCCCTTAATTAAGGAGGATTTTTTCCTTAATTCAGGAATTCCACCTTAATTAAGGAGGAATTCTCCTTAATTAAGGCGTTTTTTTTTGAAATTTCCTCCTTATTTTTTTTAAGGAGGAATTTTGTTCACTGTTTTTAGATACATCTTTCACAGCATCATTGCATCAAGACCGACCTTTGGAGGTTGCTTCAAGGAGATGCAAGATCTCCTTTTGGTGTTTTGATTTCCTGCATGTAATGTTTGTGCATCGCATCTGCAGTTGATTTCTCAAGATGACTAGAGCTAAGAACACCGCTTCTGTTCAAGACCTTTGCAAATGTTTGAAAGCAGAGGTGGCTTGTTTGGATCCCGAGAAGTACTTGGATGTTGAAATTGATCAAGTTTGCAAGCATTATCGAAAATTTCTGGGCGTGATGTTCCAGAAAACAATTCGACCATCCAAAGAGTGCTTGAAGGAAGCTGCCTTGAAAGTCTTCAGACTTGGTGTCAAGAGCAGTTGAAAGCCATTGACAACCTTCGATCCTATGTCGCAGCCAGTGAAGATCTTGCTCCTGAGGACACTTCTCCTGAAAGCCTTTCGAAATCATTGCCTGCTGCCAAAGCATGGCTTGCTTCCAGCCAAGAGAAGCTGCAAGAAGCAAAAGCCAAGGTGAAAACTCACCAGGCATTGCTGTAGGAGCTGTTTGGCCCTTAGATTTTGGAAAGCGCATTTGGTGCAGTTGTCAATTTTGGAATGTGGAAATGCAGATAAAAATATCGCAGGGATCTGCTTGGAAGACGCGCAGATGGTAACTGCCGCTGGAAAAAGAGCCTGCTTCTAAGCTGATGTACAAGACTCAAGGAGGTGTAAGATCTCCTTTACTGTTGCCCTGTTTCAAAGCATTGGCCAAATTTAGCATTAACTAAATACAATGTGTAACTTCTTGTCTTCTGAGGTCTTATGAACTTTTATGTTGACATGTTTTTCCAGCTCAAGCCATGTTTCACAAGAGAAAGGTAGATTTGTCTACCCTTAGGGAACCTGACCAGAAGAGGTTTCGACACAATGTTTCCAATTTGTTTTTGACCAAGACTGTCTCTGCTAGAAGAGCCAATGAGCTCATGAAAGATGCACAAATAGCTGGAGCCACTGGTGTGAAAGATTTGGTCAAAGGTGCAGAGAAATCTGGCAGTGGTGAGAAGCAAGCCAATTGGGAAAAGAATTTGGCAAGGGATATGAAAAGAAAAATGTTGAAGAATTGCCTGTGGTTCAATGAATACATTGCATTGATCCCTTGCTACAATCCTGGAACACAAGCAGAAGAGATGAAGAAGATACCTTTTCTTTTGCCACATGAGATTCTTTTTGTCTTCTCGAAGCGCTCTGAGAAGAAAGACTTGCTGCAGACTGGTGGCATGTGTGAACTCAGCAAGAAACATTTGGCGAACATGCAAATGCAGTTCCAAGTTCGAGAAGCCATAGGACTTGGCCTTTGGATCGATGGCACACCTTACAATTATGACAGAAGTCAAACTTTGGAATGCATCTCATTGAATTTTCCTGGCTTACTTCCACCTAATGGTACTTTGCGAATCCCTTTGTGCTGTATTCCAAAGCACTGGTGCATCAAGGGAGTAACTTTGTCGAAGATGTTAGGAATTTTGTCTTGGTCTTTTATTCACTTAGCCAATTGCACTTGGCCTTCAGCAAGGCATGATGGCAGCTTTTGGCACCCAGGCGACAAAAAACGAAGCACATTCAATGGCAAGGCATTGCCTTTCACTGCTTTTTTACTTGAAGTGAGAGGTGATTGGGCCATGAGAAAAGAAGTTTTCCAATTTCCTGGATGGCGAGACAAACAAGGATGCTGCCATTTGTGCTTGTGCAAACCAATTGAAATTCGAAACTTTGAAAGCTGCAAGGCATTTGATCCTTTGGACCATTTCACTTTGTTGCAATCAATTTCCAATTCTGGCATTGACATCAATGAATTGTTTCAAACACCAGGACTGACAAACAAACAATTTCTTTTGGACTGGCTTCACATTGTGGACTTGGGCGTGGCAGCAGATTTTATGGGCAATGTTTTTCACCATTTAATTGCCTCTGGAAAACACTTGCCTGGCAACAATGTCAAAGAAAGGGTGAAAAGCTTGTTCCACAAAATTCAAAGCTACTACAAGACTGAAGGTGTGGAAAACAAGCTTCCTACTTTGACAGTCCTCATGATCAGAAAGAAAGCCAGTTCAAGTCCAAAACTTCGAGCCAAAGCTGCAGAAGCTCGAGGGTTGATTACTTTTGCAAAACAAATCTGCGATGAATTCTTGGATGATGACAATGTGCTTGAATATACAATCAAGATGGCTGCCACAGAACTGTGGCAATGTTATTCTTTCTTGTCCAAGAATCTATGGAATCACCGGTCAATGCTGCTGCATGGCAGAAAGTTTTTGCTGTTGTGCAAGAGCTTGGAAAACGAGACTGACCATACTTGGAAGATCAAACCAAAGCACCACAGCTTCTTAGATTTATTGCTCCAGAACTCTTGTCCATCAGACAGTTGGACATATCGAGACGAAGACTTTGGTGGCTTCCTAGCTCACTTAGGAGCTGTGAAAGGCGGAAGCCACAACCCTTATTCCATAGGCATGAGTGTTCTGCAAAGTTTTCGAGCACAAGTGATTCCAGAGCTGAAGTGAAAAGTTTTGCTGCCAGGATCTGGGATAAGGAGGTTTCAAGTCTCCTGCTGAAGGAGGTGCAAGATCTCCTTGCAATTGAAAATTTAAGGAGGAATTTTAAGGAGGAATTTTTGAAAAATTCCACCTTAATTTAAGGAGGAATTTTAAGGAGGAATTCCTTAAATAAGGAGGAATTCCTTAAATAAGGAGGAATGGAAGTTCTGGGAACAAGTGGGCCGCAACTGTTTTTCAGGACTTTCTCAGCCACTGTACAGATCGAAGGTACAACAACGAACAAACGTTTAACTTGCCAGACCTTGACAAACGAAAGCTCCTGCAATGTCTGGACATCCCTGCAAATCTCAGGCCTCGCGGCAACGCAGGAAGCCATGAAACACACGTCGCGCCCACTCTGCCAGAGCGCAGTTGAGAGCGCAGCTGGCAATGCTGCAAACTGGACGGCGGAAACCAAGCCCTTTCTTGGGCGATTGTCCGTGCAAAAGCATGTGGGTAATGCACCCATGAATCAACAGATTGGTGGTTTCAATCCCTAAGAAAAGGAACATGGATATATGATGCTGTATGTAGCTGCATAAGTCTGAGATACCTATCAATACTTGGGACCCATGCTTAACGACCAATATTGGCTGGCCATCTCACCCAACCTGGTAACCTGAACTCCATGACAGATATTGACTGTGATTGACATCCAAGCTAGGATGAAACAAATAAAACACATGTCAAAGCACCTAGCAAAGGGGCACACACACGTATATATATATATACATACATACATATACATACATGTTTGCATATGAAACAGCAAAAACGATACCACACATTCAGATCGTTATCCAGATGCAGCACAAAAAGCTCGCGCCCCGAGATTGAAGACACTCTTGGTCCCATTTTCTAAACTAAAAGCCAAGCTGTGCAGCTCACTCTGTAGCCACCTCCCAGAAAACCAACAAAACGGAACAGAACTCTGTGTCTTGCGGATTTTCATCTGCATAAGTTTGGGTTGACTGCTGTTTCTTTTTTCCCAAGCACATGTGGCCTATGGCGACTTTCACCTGGGCAGCTGCATCCCTAGGCCTAAAGAACCCCAAAAATAAATGGTATCATTTTGCCATGGTAGGGCTCAAATACCACCAAGTTTCAAAAATGATGAGTCACAACGGTACATCGACAAAAACACCATTTCTGTCTTTTGTGATCTTTTGTGGATCTTTTTGATTGGTTTACTTTCAACAACCTTCACTTGCAGTTCCTTCAAGGGCAACCAGTCAGAACTGCCCCAAGGGACAAGCTGCAACCGACGCAGCTGGCAGCAGCTGGCCTCAAATGATGGACCACACCGTGTTGAAAGCAGTGCCCAGTTTCTCTTCGCCAAGCGCCGCGATGTGTTGCAGGTAGTCCTCAGCATGGCGCATGGCAGCAGGGCGGAGGGGGACTTAGTGGCTGCGGTTTGATATGTTGAATGGCAATGGATTTTCAGTTGGACATACATACATATATAGATATATACATTATTATATATATATATATACACATACTATACTTGTGAACTTATCTTTGCTTAATATTAATGATTTAGAAAAGAACACGCACAAGGCGCACCCATGGGGCCATTCTTTCCCTGTCCAACTCAGCCCAACGAGAAGCGAACAACGATGCATCGGGCCAAGGCGCTTTAATATGCCGTTCCTGTTGGCGTGTGCCCACAGGGTTTGACAATGCCTAAATGCCTAAACATATGTTGCAGTGGCCAGCTTCAAATATCTCTGGAAAGAAAACAAAGGTAGAATTCGGACTGAATGACTGATATGTATGTATATATATATAATATGTGCACAGTTTTGCCCATTCTCCATTCATCAAGACCAAACACATTCAACCAAGCATTCACCGAAGTATACTGATGCACCATGATGAAGCAAGTGGGGGATGGATTGCCAACCTAGGGGCAAACAACCAAATGTGTTACAGCAATTATCTCGTACCCAGGCGGTGCAGTGATTATCCACTAATTACTATCCACAGAGTCCCCAACCGATGCGGCTCCGGCCCGCTTATCTTGGCTCCTAACCACCGGATGTGTGTGTGACCCAGATACGATCCCCTTTCTTGCACCTTCTCTTGCTCCTTTTCTATCTATCTACCCATCTATCTATCTAATCTATCTAATCTAATCTAATCCAATCCAATCCAATCCAATCAATCTATCTTTCTTTAGCTAACCCATAGAATCCATCTGGCTATTTCCCACCTGGATGGTGATATGCATGGCATTGACGAAGTCGCTGAAGGAGTTGCCCAGGAAGGCCCGGACCAAAAACACCGTCACCGCTTGCACGATGGCCTCGGTGTTTCAACAGCTGTTAATTAAATTATATATTATATGTATGCAATAGATGATGATGTTGGGTACGTGGGTTATGATAATTAGATAATATAGATAATTATGTTAATTCTATGTACATATATCAACAGCTGTTATGCTTATTCATGATTAGGGCCTTAAACGTTGATCACGCGGATCTAGTGCCTGCGAATTTCTACTGTCTTGAACTGGACAGTCTCAATCAAGCTCTAAATTTAAGGGGTTTAAACCGGTTGAACGGAAAAACCTTCGGGATATCAGAACTTTTTTGGGAAAGCAGTGGATGGTCAGGTTCCAGGCCTCTACTGCTGAGAATGTTGCTCACTTCGTCTTGATGTCCATACAGGCTGGTGTTGAGTCTGGGAATATGGAAATCATGGTGGAATATTGGGAATTACTCTCTGGTAAACTAACATAACTAGTGAAAACGGCCCACTTATAGTTGATTTACCCATTACAAATGGTGATGATGTTCAATAGCTATGTTAAATTACCTGTATCCAGCAAGCATGGTTACATTATCTGACCATTCACCAAGCTCTGCTTTGCCACGGTCATCTCCTAAACCAATGGACGCAACTGGTCACCCGATGGCTTCATCTAGTGAAATTGCATTCTACCAGGTTGTTTCTTCTGTATATCTTTGGGGACACCTGCGTGCAGTGATCATCAGGGAAAAAAACACTTATATATCTGCACCCAGAATCTCAAACGGGCACTGTGACAACACACACCCTGAATACACCATTAATTGCCCATAGTCTCAATGTTCAATATCTGATTTTCCTATATTCTTGCGCCAATGTTTCATCATATCGTTACATAAACCCCACATGTTCATACATTTTCACTATCAAATCCCACTTGTTGATGACCAATTCTCCAGTTGTTCATGGTTAAATGACTTCAAAATGCTTAAATCTCCTTGTTCTACCATATTAGTCTCAGAAATTGGTGACCAGCCTCAGTAAAGTTGATGACTCATCTTAATTGTTGGATCCATGTTTATGCATTTTTGCCTCCAAAACAATAGACATGTAATTCACAGTCAGTAAAGCAATGTCATACACCAGCCATTTAATGGTAAACTTGGGAGACGGTGGATCCTTCAATGGATTGGTTTAAGGGAAAATCTTAACCGGAAACCATCGATTTTCCCATCAAATATGGGGCTTTCCGGTTAAAATTTTCCCTTAAACCAATCCATTGATATCTCAAATGATATATGTGTCCCAGGATCCCATGAAATACCACCATAAAAATATCTAGATCCATATGGAGGTTTCCTAAAATGGGGTACCCCTAAATCATCCATTTGGGTTGCCATCAGCGACCAAGCGACCACTTCCGCCATGGCTTTCACCGTCAGCATCACCACCTGCACCTTTTTCCCCAGAAACGCCACGCGTCTTTGGGAAACCCGTCGGGCCCCCGGGACTTCCCAAGGAAAGTGACGATTTTCATGAGGGAAATCTATATGTGCATGTTGTTTATGGATGTTTATGGCAAATAAATGGATGTCTGTGTAATTTTATGAGAAGCAATGTGCTGCAGTGGGATTTAATGAGATGTGAACTCTGATAAATGGGGTCAAACCCTCCAGTAGACTTGCATAGCTATGGAAATGGATGGGTTTCCCGTTTAATTATATACATGATCTTCGAATCCAGCGTTACCAGAAAGAACTCCATGGGTAAACCAGTTTTTTTGGGTACCGCCCAAGTCTTCAGAAACACCCATATCAAGATCTCTGATGTTTTTAAAGGCGGCAACCATGAAAAGTTTACCCATGGCGTCGCTTTGTCACCGGGAAACAGCATTTTCCGCATGATTCTTGAAGCTCTGCAGCTTGGGATGAAATTTACTTTAAGTCCCTTCCCAAAATTTAGGTACGTTTCTTCAATCTGCCTAAGGCAGGACCATCATATCGTCACGTTTGTTGAATTTGCGCCAATTTTGCACTTTTTTGCACCGATTTGCGTTCGGTTTGCATATGCTTTGCATCACGTTTCCAACAGGGATGACGTGCAGAAAACCGAAAAATGCTCGAATCAACGATTTCTGCTTGGGACGTTTTTTTACATTACATAAAATAGGTTTACATGACGCAATGTAGATGACACAAGATCGATTTACGTATATATCGAACAGGCAGTGAGATACAAATTTACATCACGTTGGAGGTTCCTGGCATATCTACTTAGTTGGTTTCCCCACTTTCGAAGAATGTCCCTGTTATTTTGTACTAACTATTGGTTGATTTAGCCAATGCCTTACTTAATCTTATTACACAAATTTCTGAATTTAAATAGATTCTATTTGATTTAGCCACGTTGGGAGGTCCATCATTTATGTGCCACAAAAATCTCTATCGGCTGCCGTCTGAAATCCGATCTCGGATCTGCTCGATCTGAGCCTCAGCATCTTCCAAGTTGAAATCCTCCTAGCAAGACAAAGCGCCAAACGTGGAGCGTCTTACATTGGATGTTATGGATTGTTATGGTGGTATCTTGGGTGCGCACTCTAGAATAAATATGAATAAATAAATATATATATATATGTTACAACGTGCTGCCGCAGTCAGTTTGCAAAGTTGATTTCGTTCACTAGTTTTAGAATGTATAACTGTGTAACTAGCGTTTTTGATTGTTGCAACTACAGTTGGATGGGTGAACATAAACCAAATTGTAACCGGGGGGCACCACCTTGTAACAACATGGGCGGAATTGAATCATTAACAGAAAGTAATTGAGGGTTTTGGGGACTTGCTACACTTTTCAAACTTCTCAAAAACACAAAAGTTATAGGCATCCAAAACAAAGAAGCCGGACTGGGCATGATTCATTGTCTCTTGGCAAGAAAATGCAAATCATGTACCTGCCTAAGTCAGTTCAAATTCCTCTGTAGGACGCGCGAAATAGTTCCCCGCTTGCACACTAGGATGATACTATCTTACCAATGCTGTAAGCCCAAAAAGGGCAAAACCACATGCATTTAAACTATTGGTCACTACTTCTTGGATATAAATATCAGCTATTTTTTGAATAAACAATCACCACCTGAACGATAATGTCCTGCACCCCAAATGGTCAACTTGGTGGAGAGTCCTTGACCGAGTCACTAGTTTCCCGATATTAACTTGATTGGTGTGTTTCTAATTCCATGAAAATACACATATATATATATGTATATATATATATTATTATATATTAATATATGTTATTATATATGATATTAAATTATATATATACACATATAAATGTATTATAATCTACTATCTATATTATCCAGTCAATATAATTTGGAGCATCCCCATAAACATGGCACCTCTCAAAACCACGACATCACCAACCCCTAGCCCCGCTGTGTCATTGTGGCGGCACCTTGCCACTCTCCAGGTCTTCCTTGAGCCCCGGGTCTTTTTCCACGTTCACGTCTCCATCTTCACCTCGAAAGGCTGGGGGAAATGGCTGCCCCATTCAATATACCTGGTAAACTGACGTAGCTATAGAAAATTACAATTTTTAATGGGTAAATCAACTATTTTTATGGCAATTTTCAATAGCTATGTATATGTAAAATTACCCGAGGGTAGTGGTAAGGTTAGATGAGTTACGAAACTTACGAAGTTACTTGGTGATAGTAACCAGTGGACAGTGAAGGTTATTTTTTTTACGCCCTACAACCATAAAATCGGTGCAAACATGGATTACACATAGGGCTGTATGAGAAACACTCTTAAACCCACACACAACAATTTGAAACTACGCACGTTTTGGTATAAAGATGCAAAACATCAAAATGTATGTGTTATACGGTTATAATCTGTTATATGCATTAAAACTAAGGGACTCATAGTTATTCACACCACTTGCCGTGCAAACTCTGCTATCGCTGGAGCAGTTCTGAGCATTCTGCACGTCTCCTCGCCCACCTGAAGCGATCAACTCTGGATGA